TACATGAAGTGTGACACTTCACACTTCAGGAGTATGACACGTCATACTCCGAGATATTTGGTACAAGGTACCAAGGTCGTTCAAAGCCAACCATTGGTCAAATGACATTGCATTTCTATAGGTAACTAACAGTTTGTATTAAACCCAAACTTAACCTATCTATATATACTCAGTTTACAATCTACCTTATTTAGGTCACTTCGCTCTCTTTAATTAAAGAGGGGACCTGTGAACTGCCGTTCACTGAGAGTTTGTATACTCTCGGAAGATAACTTCCACTAGCGCAGGGTGCTGTGTGACCCCGTCACACTTGAGAAGACGAGTTGTTGCTTCTTTGGGTCGAACTCGAACAGTCGAAAGGCCACCGACCCGTGGGCAGCTTTGGATCCTCCGACAGGATCGTCGGGCTCTCCTGCCACGCCGCTAGTTGCGGTGATGCGACTGGAGGTTAAAGTTGACTGGGTTTTGCTGCGAATGTCTCTATCTCCGCCTAATAGAGGGACGTTGTCTAGCGTCACAACCGATGGGTCCTCGGAGCCGATGAGATCGTCCTCGTTGTAGATCTCGGCACCGAAGAGCGCTGCGTAACGTTTACGGAAAAGTCCCTTACGCCACACAAAGAAGCCGGCGATGCCCATGAGTCCGCCTGTGGCGAGTGTGGAGGCGGCCAAAAGCGCCATCTGCTGGTATGTTAAGTTGAATTTGTGGGTGAGCGCGAGGAGCTGCCCCTCGCACAGGAAGGCGACGCGGTCGCCATAGCAAATGTATTCGTCCATGTCGGTCATGATTGGCACTGCGAAAGGCACGGAGTCAGTCACGGTGTTGTTTGAATTCAGAGGCAAACCTCTTTGCCACTTACGGTCGCTCTTGGCGAGTGGTGCGCGCTGGCGGCGCGAGTTGCTCTGGAGGAGCGGAACGTCCGCGTCCTCGACGTTCGGCATGCTGTCGACTGCGCTACGTCGCCACGACGTTGGCGTAAACCCTCAGGATGGTCGGTCGAGTGTGGCTTTGAGTTTGCAACGCTACAGACGCCAGCAGGGGTGTGGTCTGAGCGCGGCTAGTTACTTTTGAAACTGACCGCTTTGGGCGAATAGCGAACTGTATCGAGAGCAATCCGGGACATAGGTGTCGCACGCCCAATTTGAGGTGATTTAGGTATTTTTTAAACTGTTTTTAGGATTATAGCACCATTTTTGATTTCCATTTATCGATTTGGACGACTGGTTTTAACCCTTTTTGAGCGACGACAGCCTAAATATTACTACCTTGCCTCTTTTCTACGTGGTGCAGAAGGTGGAAGTTGCATTTGTTTTGCTTTTTGCGGAAGACTTCGTAGCTTGGCGAGAAGAAGCGCTGGTTGACATTTAAAGCCGGGATAGCGACTGCGAGCAGAAGCGTCAGATATCTTCGCCACGAATGGCTCTTGCCAAGACCAACAGGGCGCACATTTTAATCTCGATTAAGTTTTGTTACTATGGTACCGGTACCCCTTCTTATCCATTCCAACTTGTAGGTTTTCTAATTACTTATTGACCGCGGAACACAATCGCTAGCCCTGACATTATCCTAACAGCCGTTAAACGAACTGTTTGCATTGAGTCCCAACTAAAAGATGCCCTTGTCCTCGTGCCTGGAGGACAGCCAGGACCAGGAGGCCACTGCCGCGTAATCGTGGCACGATTTGCTACAGTATTAATAGCACGATTCGTGCTACTGTAGCAAATCCCCAAAGATTTGGCTGATAAGGGATAATCATTTCACGTTTTGCCGCCAGCGCGTGGTGCGAAAGTCGCACTGCGAATCATATGCATCTCATGACTTATACATGTACACAACGGCGGCGCCTGCAAAGCAATACATGTAGTGTATATGTACTTGTAAGTCACCGAATGACGCTGTCGGCATCGTGGCGATCATGGCTGCGCAGTGGCAGTCATTTTAAATGAAGAAATCTGCGTAGAAATCCCACCTGTTGATTGATTCAGCTGATGCAAGTCGTTATTTGTTTGCCAGACGACGGGCGCACTCCAGTGAATCCTCCGAGGATGTACCCGTTGCCGTTGTTTAACAACTTGTCCGTAGTAGGGCAGCTAAGCTGTTTTGACTCAAGTCTTGAGCCATTTCGGCGTCGTGTATCCAGCTACCACCTGCTGGTCGCTGTCACAGTGTGACTCACAAGATACATGCCGTCACCGATTGAGCCTATTATTAATACCTAAGAACTAGGTAACTTGGCAACGAATCCTACGAACTGCTATCCTCTTGCTCCATTTAGAGTTACCGTATTGTCGAAGATTCTTGAAGTAGTAGCTGTCACAAATTCCTTTCCCTTTTCATTTATCAACCCTGCTTTGCGCCTTCGAGGTTTGAAGCTTCATGCTCGATTAGAGCAACGTAACAAGTTATTAATATAGCGTGTCGAAGACGAATGTAAAGCAGTCACCGAAACGTAGACAACTGCAATTGCAACAGATCCCCACACCCTTCGGTTGGTCATATTGGAGCCACCACGCCAGCCACACCACTAACTACCTAACGTTAGATCCATGTATTACTAGTACTTAGCAGCTGTATTGAGGCTGACCGATAAATGGTACTGTATGCATCTCTTCTGGACCGCGCGTTTCTTCTTGATAATACGTCCACGTCCGTGGCGAAAGCGTCTGGAATTCGAGCTTTCGGTCCGCGGTGTTCACGCTTCGCATCTAGTAAAACCACGAAAGCACTTCGCCGGTAGCGCCTGCCCAGTCGAACGGCTGAGTTGTGTCTTGGGTAAAGTCAGGAATCTGTTCGTTGAATATGTCAAGGCTGGAGTTAAACAAGTCGCCATTGTTGGATTGTCCGCTGTTGCTGGTTGCATTGTTGGCTGCCGTCGCGGCACCGTAGTGTCGGTCGAAGAAAGCAGCCGATTGCGGCTGTGTAAACTTGGGCAGCATGTAGTGGCCGTACGCCTGCGGTGGGGCCCAATCTCGCGTACACCCGTAGCTTCTCGCCAAGAAAAGGCTCATAGGGCGCCCAGAGCTCGTAGCTGCCTACAGAGGGAAGCCACAACTCGTCGTGCGAGTAGCGATAGCATAGACCGGCGAAACGAAGTTGGAACGGCTCAGACATGCGGAAGTTGGCGTGTTCATGCTGACAGCGTCCACTCTGCCAGCACTCGACGCAGCAGTCGTAATCGCTGATGCACTCGAGACACGAGAGGATTTGGTCCTGACCGACAAACTTGAGCGCAGAGCATTCGTCACACTGTCTTGTCATCTTTTGGCCTGTGACGAGATACAGAAGCTCCTTCTTGGAGATCATACCGTCCAGACTGCCCCCGAAACCCAGCAGAAATTCGATGTAGCTGTCAGCACAGCCCTGCGCTTTCTGGAAGGCACGGAACTCGTCTTGTGTGCTGCGACCATCTCGATCCGTGTCCATCTGCGCGAATAATGTGGAGATGTGGGTGCGTAGGAACACACCGACGCCATTAGGCAGTTGATCTCTGTCTTCGGGTGGAGGCGCCAGCATCTCCAGCATCTCCTGGGCCGGTACGAAGCGGTGATTGGGTGGGTGTACCTCGCCACTCACTCCTCTTGGGTAGCACCTGGCACAGAGGATATATCCTCCAGCTCGGCATTCCAAGCACATGAAGCCGCGCTCGTGTTCGCCAATAGGAGCAAAACATGAATCGCAGAAGCCGTTGCCGAAGTTTAAATACCGCACGAGTGCTAGGAAGGCGCGTGCGTCTACGACACCACGCCCAGCTTGGTCATAGCGGGCGAATACGCCTTCAACGACCTTGGGAGGGAAATGGGACAGCAATTTGCCGATATCTTCGTGCTGAATGCCGCCACCACGCGCAAACTCGCGATACAGATTGGCAGCGATATCCACAAGCAATCGCTCCTCGTAGACACGCACAAAGTTCTGTAGGAGCTGTTCGAGCGTCTCCGGGTTGCTTGGGGATACAAGCTGCGGGACAACGAGAGTCTGCAGCTGCACAGGCGCGGACTGGAACGGCACTGGAGTTGCAGCGCCGGATGGAACACTCATGGGGTTGGACAATAAATTGATGGAGTCGACGATGGAGGTGGCCACACGACGGTCGGGGCCGCTGGATGAACGGTAGCGGCGCTGCTAGATGGGGCAATGGAGCAGATATTCCGGGTCAGAAAAGTGCTATGCTGCACGACTAAAACCTGGCATTTGTAAGTGGGTGGTTTATTTCACTGATAAAGACTGCCCTCTTCCAACCGAAATAAAATGTGCGATGTGCAAAAGACACGTCGAAGTTGCCACCTTCACTTCGAATTAAAATACCCTGTAAATAAATTTGGTCGGATTTGACACATCATTTTTCCTAAAACAAAATTTAACACGTAAAGAAATAATTTAGGATACAGCAGAAGCCATGTACCGGTACTGTATGGTGAGTGCACATTAAATGTTTAAAAAATGCCAAATTTTGGAGGCAAGAGATAAACCAGCGATGAAAATACTCCTCGCTGGATCATTAAGGCTCAACTTGACATCTACAGTAAGTGCAGTGAATCAATTTCGTCCGCGCTTCTCTGTGGGATTCGATATTACGCATGTACCGGTAATGCGTTGCAAGTTGAAACTGAGTGCATGCTCAGGATAAAGAAGAAGTCGGTTGTGATCTTTATGATCGAAAGGTTGATGTGGTCCAGATTGGCATCGAATTCACAAAAGCATTGCGCAGAACACAATCGAAGCCAACCGAAGCCGATTTTAATTGAAACGATGATATTGAAACAAGTTGTTTCGGCCACGTAAACTCGTTGTTGACTGCGAACACCGAATTCTTGCAAAAGTTGCATCGAGAGTGCTGTGTTGCGGGCCCCACTTTCATTACAAGTCGTAGCAATCAAATTGACATGTGAAACTTAATTCAAGAGGTGAGGTAAAAGAAAACAGCTAAAAGTTGCGTTTCTTGAAGGCGTGCAACACAACCTGTTTTATTTCTAAGCTGCTGTATCGCTTTCATCTCCACTTTTGGTTTATCTGCATTTGCACTCTCTTCTTCTGTAGTGCATTAAATCTCGAGAGTCCTCGAGCTGATCGCGACTTCTGCACATACGATATCGCCACGGTCTACCCTTTAATTTTACTTCGCGTTAATTACATGTAGCACAGTAGGCACAATATTCAACACATTGCCGAGAATTTTTCGATAATCGCGTTTTGCACTTCAACTTCCTCATTTCTGCACATAGACACCTTCGATCGAGAGCCAGGGCTCCCAGCCTGCAACCGCCTGCACCCGCTCGGCTGGAGACCACAACTCCAGCTGAGGAAACGCTGCCGCGACGATGGTTTGGTTCTCCACGACACCGCGTTCCAAATTCACACGCACTTCCATGAACGCACCGTTGGGTTCCGACTTGAGTGTCACGACGCTCCGGAAGGCGGTCAGTCGAGTTTGCACTCCGCCTTGAGCTATCCCTGTTGGCCACCAGTAAAACTCCACGCAAATGCAATTGATTGTTGGTTCCTGTCGCTCCAGGCGATACGCTACGTAGTCGCCTCCAAAGCAAGACGAAACTCCGCCAATCAAACTTGTCAAGCCGTTAAAAGCAATTGGAGCCACACGCACTCGGCTATCACAAATAAGCCGCAACCATGCGTTGTCTCGTGACAGCACTGACGGCTCCGCTTGGACCTACACAAGACACGGCGTTAGGGTCTATACTCGGAGTAAGACATGACTTAAAACTCGTCCAACTACGCACATAAAGCGTGTGCAGCGGATCCCCAGCGGCCGCTAGCTTCAGATGCAGTAGTTGTGATAGTGCTAGGCATGATGTCCACATTGATGGTACGTCCTGGTTTGTTGGCCCTCCTGCTTGCATATAATTGTCATCGCTTCTCGCTTGTGCCACGTAAAGATGACATTGAAAGGCTATCAGGCTGCAGCAACCAGTCTGCTGTCCATTGACTCGCACCTTGCATGGGTCCCCGCCCCAAATACTGCTCTCTCTAATGTTAATGCACAGAGATACGTGAGAATCCCTGCACTTTTGATAAGGTCCTTTAAAGAACGCACCAGATAGCCTTCTCGTACTTGCGCTACGAAGCTCTGCCACCCCACGAGATTGCAACGTGGGATAACAGAGTCATACGCGTCAGAGGTTGCAGAAATATTTTCCTTGCTATCTTCGAGCACTATCGTGGGTCGCTGAAGCATGGCCCTCAATCCAACGCGCAGAGACTCCAGTTCTGGGTCACTGTAGACGACGCCCAGCACGGCATCGCTCAATGCCCGTACACTATGGATCGTCGTCTGAGTCGCCCGCGGCGTCTGCAGGAAACGATCCATGGCACCCCAGCATCGCCCAACACACTCGAAGTACGCTTCACGGAGTTCTTTTCTCTCATCGACAACACCAGAACCGCTGGAGTTGACGTTCTCCAGCAGCAACGGGTGGCATGCAGCCAGCAAATTTTGCACTACTTCAATGTTATCAGGTGAAAAAGCCCAAACACAAACTTCAGCCAACACAAGCAGCAACTGATCGCGCTCGGTTGTGCAGCGAGACACAGTCAGGTCTTGGGATCCTCCGCTCTTAGCCATGGACAGCAACAGCCCTGCAAGATGCGCGGCCTCACCCGATGCATATTGCCAGTGTTGTGAAATCGCAATCGTGAATGCAGCTTCCATGCTAGCCGCATTTCCGAATTTGCTCGTCGCGATGTGGGACACGAAGAAGTGGACAATTGCCAGATCAGTAACCTGCTGCAACTCGCGCTGATGGGTATCGAACTGTTGCTGCTGCTGCTTGAATCGTCGAAGAGCGATATCCCCGTGTCTAACTGGGTCGG